GCGTGATGAGTCAGTAGACCGCCAGAGGAGGGGGGGGGGGAGGATGCAGGGACCAGACTTATAGTAAGGTAGGTCAGAAGATTGGGTGAGTATATCTTTTTTTATTTTACCCCCTAGACAAAAATGAGCACTAATAGCCACAGTGCAGGGTTAGCCACAGTGCAAGGGTTCATTTGTCATGTGCCCAGAGTTCTTTATGGACAGCCACACTCAAGGCCGGATTTCCCACAAGGCCCGGCCTCGGGGAAGCAGGGAGTAGAGGGGCAGCAGGGGTGTGGAATTCCTTTCTCCCGACCGGTGGGACATGCAGTTCCAGGCGCTTGATAGGGGGGCGCATTCAGGAACCTGGCCTTGGGGCAGCAGAGAGAGTAAATCCGGCCCTGGCCACACTGCTCCTTTCTTCCACACTTCTGGACAGCCACATTGCTCCCTCTCTCCACACTTCTGGACAGCCACACTGCTCCTTTCTTCCACACTTCTGGACAGCCACACTACTCCTTCCATACACACTTCTGGACAGCCACACTGCTCCTTTCTTCCACACTTCTGGACAGCCACACTCCTCCTTCCATACACACTTCTGGACAGCCACACTGCTCCCTCTCTCCACACTTCTGGACAGCCACACTGCTCCTTCCATACACACTTCTGGACAGCCACACTGCTACTTCCCTCCACACTTCTGGACAGCCACACTGCTACTTCCCTCCACACTTCTGGACAGCCACACTGCTACTTCCCTCCACACTTCTGGACAGCCACACTGCTACTTCCCTCCACACTTCTGGACAGCCACACTGCTACTTCCCTCCACACTTCTGGACAGCCACACTGCTACTTCCCTCCACACTTCTGGACAGCCACACTGCTACTTCCCTCCACACTTCTGGACAGCCACACTGCTACTTCCCTCCACACTTCTGGACAGCCACACTGCTACTTCCCTCCACACTTCTGGACAGCCACACTGCTACTTCCCTCCACACTTCTGGACAGCCACACTGCTACTTCCCTCCACACTTCTGGACAGCCACACTGCTACTTCCCTCCACACTTCTGGACAGCCACACTGCTACTTCCCTCCACACTTCTGGACAGCCACACTGCTACTTCCCTCCACACTTCTGGACAGCCACACTGCTACTTCCCTCCACACTTCTGGACAGCCACACTGCTACTTCCCTCCACACTTCTGGACAGCCACACTGCTACTTCCCTCCACACTTCTGGACAGCCACACTGCTACTTCCCTCCACACTTCTGGACAGCCACACTGCTACTTCCCTCCACACTTCTGGACAGCCACACTGCTACTTCCATACACACTTCTGGACAGCCACACTGCTACTTCCATACACACTTCTGGACAGCTACACTCCTCCTTTCTTCCACACTTCTGGACAGCCACACTGCTCCTTTCTTCCACACTTCTGGACAGCCACACTGCTCCTTCCCTTCACACTTCTAGAAAGTCACACTGCTCCCTCTCTCCACACTTCTGGACAGCCACACTGCTCCCTCTCTCCACACTTCTGGACAGCCACACTGCTCCCTCTCTCCA